CGGGCGCCCCAGGGGCGTTCATCTGGGGTCGGGAGGTGATGCTGGCCGGAGACGAGGTCCTAGAGGACCCCAGGGCCGGAGGGTGGGCGCCTCGGCCCGCAGCGCTCCCCTCTGACCTGTGGGTCATCCCGGAGGAATGCTGGCACGATAGGAGATTCGTGCGATCACTCTGCACAGTCAGATTTCGTCCAGGAGGTTTGTGTTGCGTCTGCGGTACCCCGATTGGCCTCGGTGACCTCGTCTAAGAGGGATTCTTACATAATGTGGGGAGAGCTGTGTGGTCTGTGACACCTCTTGAGTGGGTGATGGGGCTCTCCGTCCGTGAACTGGGTGGTCACGCGCAGGAGCGGAGGACTCCGCCGACTCCAGTGGTTTGAGGTGTGGGATTTTTCTCTGTGGACTTCATGTTCAGTTTGGAGAGGGAATGTCGGCGACGCCACACGTTCTTGTCCCCTCCCCCCCCTTAAAGAAGCATTTGTAGGGTATATATTTAGGAAAGCTCCAGAAGGCACGGGGATCGTTACTTGTTGTAGAGACTTTTCTTCCGCTTGAGAGAGGAGTCGTTACCAGATGCCCAGAGAGCCCGGGGAAGTTTCCAGTCCCCTGTTACAAATTATGTAAATTGCGTAGCTCCTAGACGCTGACTGTCCTCTTGACCTCTTTGAAGTTTTTGCATCTTGCTGGCTCTTTGCTAGCAGTATATAAAGATTTTATGTTGTTCTTGGCTTTTAAATTATTTGTCTCTTAAGTATTTCCATACATTGCTACAAGATATTGGACATTCCTCCACTCTTTGCCACTTCAGTGGTGGGAGGCTTCCAGTCTCTGTGATGTTGTATTTCGGTAACAGTGTAGCATATTAAGAAACTGACTGGAAAGACTTTGGGTTTAAAAGAAAGATTGTTTTACATGTATTCTACCCAATTTTGTATGTATTTGTCTCAGATTCAAAGAAGGGAATAATAACTCAAAATACTCATTTACACAAATCTTTAGAATCTACATATGATTCTTTTATTTAGTTTTATTACTTATGGTATTATTTTAAAATTTCAATTCTAGTCCTTTGGAAATTAGATCTGGAAAATGTTCACCTTCTGAAAAACACTCCCTGGTGAGCACACTCACTAGTCCTGAGTTGGGGGAGTAAAAAGTAGAGACGTCATTCTGGAGAAGAAATCCGCCTCAGGCAGCTGAGGGGCAGGTTCTGATCTCGGGAAACAAAGTGAGTGGAAGGTGGTGCAGTTGAGCGGACCTGAGAGCTGGACCTGCATTCCATTTTAGGGCGATGTTGGCCCTGTACTTGGCTAATACGCAACTCTGAAACTTTTTTATTTCTTCTATTAGTCAGTAAAATAAAACTTTTCTAGTATTTGATTTCCAAGGTATCTTCCTTAGGGGACCACAGTAGCAGTATGACCATTGTAGATTCAGGATGTTTACAGGTACAAGTTGATGATTACCAGGTGTGTTATTTGTCCCTGAGCAGATGAGTCGTTCTCTCTTCTGCTGCTGTGATGAGAAGTGATGCCTGTGACACAGAGAGTCCCAGTGTTCACTTCAAATTGATAATCAAAACCTGCATGGAACGTTGGACCACATTCTTGATGTGGAAGTCCTTCCGCACGTGGAGCGCAAGAATGCTGTCTGAGCTGGTCACCTCCTGCTCCTGCTGTTTGACCCACTTGTGTTTGGTGCAGAGACGGAGCACCGGTCAGTCTTGTGGATTTTGTCCAGACTGCCCTTGCTCACGACTGCATCCTTATCAAGAAAGCCTCCAGGCATTGGGACAGCTGAGTCCTGGCTGGTCAGATTTCAGTGCTAGAACTTAAAATGGGGTTAGACACTTCCTTACCGAGAAACCTTTGATAGGTTGGTTTCAGGGTAAGAGAGCTTTTTCTTTGGGAATAAACAGTTTGGCAGATTACTTGACCTGCCCAGCAAGGCCGATTTGCAAATTCCCGAGCCTTTGCTGCGCATGATCTGCCACATTTTCCTTTGTAGGTTTTCCTTCCCTAGTGTTCATTTACTTAGCAAATATTTATTGAGTGACCATCAGTGATGAGTGTTCACCCATGAGAAAGCAGGCAGTCTCCGCCTTGTGGAGCTTGCATTCCGGGAAGGCGGACAGGAGGCACTAAACACGACGTGTATGGAACCAGATAACCTGTCTGAGGGCCGAGAAGTAGAGCCGGGTCAGGGTTGGGGTTGGGCTGGGGCTCACCTTGCCGTCCTGGGGACTTTGTGAACCAGAACCTTAGAGGGCCCTGAGCAACTGCCATGTTGCTGGGGGGTGGGGGGGGTGGGGGGGGAGATGCACAGGAGTGGGCCCTCTGGGAGTCGAGCGACCCCTACTGGTGGCCCGGTGAAAGGGCGCCTTTGGGATTTATATCGTGTCTCCTACAGCGTGATTGCATCATTCGTATCCAAGATAAAACAAATGCGGGGGGGTGGTATGAAAATATTTTTTAAAGATTCGCTATTTTATTGGAAACGTGTGGGAATGTGAGTGAATTACTATCGAGTCAGGGGGCAGGAAAGATGGTGAGGTTCTGTAGGAGATCCTGGTGTCTTCTGCACTGTGGCTTCACTTTGAAAGAAAAGACATAGGATAGAGGCAGAGAGTTAATCTGTTCAGTAAAACAGCTAGTTTGCCGCTTGTTTCTTAAGTAAAGGTCTTCTTATCACTTCCTAGGTGAATCTGGTTTTCCACTGCATCACTTAGTTAATTTGAGCCAGTGTCTAAGGTTCTGAGACTGATTTGACTTTTTAACTTGAAAGTAGAGTCTGATTACTTCTTTAATGGGTGAAATCAGATTATTTTATTTATTTCTGACATTATAGCATTTCTTCTGATTAACTTTATTGAGTTATAGTCAGTTTACAATGTTGTGTCAACTTTTGGTGTACAGCACAATGCTCAGTCATACATGAATATACATATATTCATTTTCATATTCTTTTTCACCCTAACTGATTGTCTTTTTTGAAGAATAAATTTCAAATTCTCAAAAGAGAATGAAAAGCAAATATATGTTAAAACTGGTCAAGATACAAAAGAAGGAAACTGTTCTCAGATTACATCAAGACTCTGAACAGACAAGTTGTGTTTGAAAAAGAGCCAAAGGGAGCCTCCGAAAATGGGAAAGCTGGGTCACTAAAGCAAAAAGCTATCGGGCAGGCGAAGCCACACGACACCCAGCGGGAGAGGGAGGTGGTGCCCAAGAGGGAGATGCGCGGCCTGGCATGAGGCAGGCCCTGGCTCACCTGCGATCTGTTTCAAAAGGAAAGCATTGCTAGGATGGAGAAGGGTGGTTACTGGAGAAATGAAAACTGAGTCTTTTCTGTAGATTACGAAGTACAGGAAACTCCACGGAGTCCAAGTCTGGGGTTTTATAGCTTCCAGAGCTGAACACATCATTGGGATTTCAGAACATCGAAATGAAAAAGAAGCAGCCAGAGCAAACAGACTGCCTTCAGAGGGACAGCCGGGAACCTGAGCACACAGCTGATAGCCACAGTGGTGGAAATGTTCCTGCGGGAAGGTCCCGGTCAGCCTGGAAATCTGCACCAAGTAGGCAGTTACTCCAGAGGGAGTAGCATGAATCCCAGCTCCACCCTAAAGTGGGCGGCTCCCGTGCAGAGGCTCGTGCAGAAGTAAACCTGGAGGACGTGCTCCACTCAGATGGACGTGGGGCTCTGGGGTAGAGGAGGCTGACAGGGTGCAGGTCAGCATGGAAACAGGTACGTAAGTTTCGGTCATAGTGGCCACGTGACAGTGACCGGTGTGGGTGTGGAAGGAGAAGCCAGAACACTCACAGTCAGCACCCAGCCCAGCTGGAGCTGACCAGCGGACAGGCGTCCGCCACCAGTCCTTGTGCTAGTGCAGTGGAGGATGGAGACATTTATTAAGATTACTATTCAGAGAATAGGAATGACTGCAGATCTGCCAAAGAAATACCAGGTGGGAAAAGGCACTGAAAAAAAGCTTGCCCAATGAGAAAGAAGGCAGGAAGGTGGGGGCGGTGGTGACTAGAAATGTTAACACGCACTGGGGTTGGATTCCCTGCCTCTGTCCGCCCCCCCCCACCCGGTGCCCGTGAACAAGCAGACTCACCAGGTGAGAGAGAGAAGAGAGAGTCTGTGGGGAGACCTGTGTCTGGCTGCGCAGTGCGCAAGCGGCCCGGCCAGCACGACACCGTCAGAGGGCTGGAAGCAGGGCTGTGGGGGCAAAGCAGGAGGGAAGGTCAGCCACAAGGAGGCTGCCCCCCCGTGTACAGTCCCTTAGCTGGAGCCGTGGTGGCACTGAGCAGCCGGCAGGGCCAGAGTGAGAAGGGTCAGCGGCGCCTCAGTGAAGAAGCAGACGCCTGCCCCCCCCAAAACCAGAGAGCTCCTGAGAACCAGCGATCTCAACAGACACCTAAGAGGATGTCCCCTAAAGACCACGGTCTGCGGCCTCAGTGAGTAATGTTGGATATGAAAAACAAAAAGAGGCAGCGGTTTGGGGGAAACTTAAAAATATTTTAAGTAATTTACAGGTCAAGGAAGTATTTGTAATTCAGTGATAATGAATGCCCCACATACTCGTGGTGGTCACTGACTTGGGAATACGGCTTGAAAACATACGAGAAGAACCGGACAATCCCCAATAAAGTCAAAGGAAGGAAATGGCAAAGAGAGAAGCAGCAGCAGGTGGGTTTTAGAAAGAACCAGCAGAACACACGGGGTGTGCACACGGCTAAGGAAGGGCGCAGGCCTCTGCGGATGTCGGTTAGAAAGACAAAGCCGATATCATGGATGTTGAAGAGTACGCAGCCACACTACAAAGTTTTAGAACATAAAATGTTATGAATGACTTTCTGCCAGTAAGTTGAAAACTCAGGACAGCATCCTAGAGACTGACCCAACGAGAAGCAGGGAGTCTGGGGAGGCCCTGCCCGCCCTTCGGAGAGCAGAGCACCGAGCTGGCGCCGTGGGCGGAGGCGCTGCACGTCCATCGTGGTAACTGTCAACGTCAGAGCGAGGACCGGACAGCCGGAGAGTGACTGCCTCTCGCCTGTGATCGTGGGTGTGAGTGCCTGGCAGGGCATCAGGAGGCGGATCTGGACTAGAATGTCAGTAGTAACTAGCTATCGTGCCGGGACAGGCAGGACCACCCCAGACACGAGGACTGTTTACCAGAAGATACGTAAGACTCACCAGTGGGTTAAGGAGAAAAGCATGATCTCACTGGGGATAAGACAGAGACCTCATAAAATTCAACTCATCCGTGATTTACAGAAAAACAGAAAGAAAATGAGAAAAGCCCACTTCTTAGCAAAGTAGGAACAACAGAAGATGTCTACCCGTTCAAGGGCATCTCCCACAGCCTGCACCTGTATGTAGTGAGAGACGCCAGGGGCGCTCCTTTTACAGTCTTGGCCAAGACAGAACCTCCCCACTTTCACTGAACTCCGTGTCTGTGTGTGGCGTTCCACCCCACACAAAAATAAATAAAAAAGTAATATAAAATTAACACAAAATCAGGAATGCCAGTTTCTTTTTGTCAGGATGCTCTTACGTGCAGAAAACACTAGACTAGCCCTGGCTTTTCCCGCAGCAGCCAGCTTCTGTTTCAGGCAGTATGAGCGAGCCGGTAACTTGAGCAGCCCTGCTCCTAGAAATATTTTTGAAGGTCTGAATAAAACATGCAGAAAAACATTAATACGTCACTCAGTTCTCGAGCTGGTTGACTTTAAAGCAGAGGAAGTGGGAGCTGGGAGGGAAGCGGCGCTGAGGCTGCCTTCTCCTGGAGGACACCAGCCAGACCCTGGGGGTCGGGGTGGGCGTCCAGTGGGAAAGCCCCGCTCACAGCTGGGCCCCCGAGCACTGGGAGTGACCTCCAGGTTGGTTTGCCCCAAAAGCATCTCTGAGGCCCCCAAATCAAGTGGAGACTCTCCTCACGGCATTCCCAGGTTCCCGGCTGGTGGTGGTCCGAATTTCCTCAAAGAGGGCCGAGGATAAAGCTCTCAGGGAGTGGGGTGAGTGGGGGCGACGGGCCGGCCGGCCGGCCTCTGGCCCAGGCCTCTGAGGACTTCAGGCTTCACAGGGTGCGGAGTCAGTGCATTTGATGTATTTAAAGAAACAAGAGGTTTGAAAGTGTAAGCAGGAATCTAAAGACGACACAAAATGACCAAGTAGCTTGGAAAGTAAACAGACCTGCCTCCCAGAAGCTCCGAGAAGATAAGAAACCGCAGCAGGAAATAGGAAGCCGGCGCTAAGAAGCAGGCAAGGTCCAGCTCCATGGACACAGGGAGCGCCCCGGCTGGCTCTCAGGAAGACGTGGAGACTGACATGCTGGGTTTGTCCCCCTCTCTCAGCCTGGCCAGCGGTCTCCTGGGGACATGGGGGCCTGCCCCGGCAGGGCTGGGCTGCAGACAGCCTGTCTGTCTGTCCTGGCTCTTGCCGGGACCCCGTGCGCATCGAGCACCCCCTGCAGGCCAGCTCAGTGCCCGCTCGGACCCAGGTCATACCCAGAGCTGCGTTTCCATCAGGGACACGTCTGGACTCTTCTCCTAGGTCATGTCTGGCCCCTGGCCAGACTCAGGGCCAGGCTGCCTGTGACCTCGAGAACAGAGGCCAGTTGTGCCCTCTCTGGCGGCATGATAAAGAGGGTGGGAGAGGGGTGTCCCTGAGATTGGACCAGAGAAGTTTAAAGTTTGACAACTGACACGCCTTGCTGACTGGAGCGGGGTTTCCGGGGACGCAGAGCCAGGTGGGCAGGTTCCTAGAAGTGTCCCTGAGAACAGAGGGGCCTTGAAATAGGAGTTGAGCAGTGGCCTGAGTGGGGAGGAGCAGCTTGGCCAGGTCAAGTGCCAGGACAGCTGGCCCAGGCAGGAGCACTGTCGACTGTCTGCTCAGCCTGCTCGGCTGCTCAGGGAGCTCCAACCCGATCCAAGCTCTCCGACCGAGCTCTTCACATCTGCTGGAGGTCCATAAGCCCCTCCTGCTCACCACGGGCTGCTCATCTCGCTGATGGGGACACCATCCATACCTGTTCTTGGGCCAGAACCTCAGAGTCATTGCTGACCCCATCTCCCTCCCCTGAGGTCCACCCACCACCAAAGGCTGTCAGCTCCTCTCCCGCCGCTCCCCGGCCCGTGGGCTCTACACGGCACTAGCCGCCCATCATCCTTCCAGAACACTCTTCTGCTGAACCCCATGCCTTCTCACTGAGGCAGCGGGAAGTCCCTCCTGCAGGGCCTCAAGACCTGGCCCCTGTGCTCCCATCCCCACTTGTCCCACTGGCACGATGTGGGCTCTCCCCACCTGCTCTGTCCTCACGCGCACACACAGCTGCCTGCGGGCTGGTTCTCGCCATACTCACGCCCCACACGCAGGCGGCCGCTCCTAAAGACCTGATGAGCCAGCAGAGGAGGGTGCACGCTTCCCACTGCCACCCCGCGCGTGGTTCCAGGCGCCCGGCGTTCTGCACATTCGTGTGCTTCAAGTGCCAGGGCTGTGGGGAAGTAGGTTAAGAGCAGACCGTAAGAACCAAGGGTGCTGCGGTGGTGACCCCCGCCTGCGCCTGAGAGCCCCAGGCCCCCAGAGCGCCGGCCCTGGGAAGACTGCTTTCCTGTGGGTGCAGAGTCCTCTGGTGGTCAGACCACCTGCCTGGGGAGAAGTGCCTCAGGGGCCGGGGAGGGAGGGCGGGGCCAGGCCGACCCGCCCGGAGCTTGACAGCCTTGTTCCCTGGAGGGGTGGGGGGCTCGTGGCCAGCCCGCCCTCAGCAGCTCCCCTGCCCACCCACCGCTCAGGCCGCCGTCTGTGCGCAGGGGCTCTTCGGTCTGATTTGTTTCCCTGATCTGTCCTGTTCCCCCAGTGAAGATTGTGATCCGAGGAGACAGGAACACGGGCAAGACTGCGCTGTGGCACCGGCTGCAGGGCAAGAAGTTCGTGGAGGAGTACATCCCCACGCAGGAGATCCAGGTCACCAGCATCCACTGGAACTACAAAAGTGAGGGCGGGGCGCGGCGGGAGCAGGGCAGGGTATGGCTGGGGCAGGTGCTTCCCAGGAGGCCATGCAGGCACAGTGCCGCAGCTCGGGGTGGGGGGTGCCTTCCTGCCATTGCCTCCCCCCACCTAGTGTTGTCATGGAAACACTGCACACACGTGGGAGTCCCCTCTGCCATGGAGACTCAGTCCCTTGGGGAGCTGGGCCATTGGGCCCACTCATCCTGGAGACCTTGGAAAGGCAGACACTCCTGGGTTAACACACGAGGTGTCCTGGAGGGGACCCCTCTGGGCGGGGACACACCCCTGCTGCAGTCTGCTTACCGGGCCCCAGGGAAGCAGAAGGGGCTCCTCGCCCTTGAGGCCCAGCTCTTGGCTCCAGTTGTGAAGTGCCCGGCCCTGCAGGGTCCTGGAGGTGGTTTGTTTGCGAGATCGCTTTGTGGCCTCCCGGCGGTAGCCCAGTGGGCGGGAACTTGCACTCCTCTGACCGTGTGGCACCCTTGTGGGAAGCGGAGAAGCCACTTTGCATGCTTAAGAATCGTAACAGCAAAAGGCCTTTGGGCCATTTTAAACATTCCTTTCCATTAAAAAAGCTAGCCAGTGGGCCGCCAGCAGGACACTCGGGGCCTTTGTGGGAGTCTGACTCCCTCTTAGTGACGTCCAGTGCGTCCCAGGGCAGCAGCGTGGACACAGCGTCGCCCTGCCTCCCGGCTGCACAGAAGCAGCTCCCCACGTCTTCCCTTCTCCTGCGAAATCCTCGGGGTAGGGAGTGAGCCAGCCGTCCCTGTGCTTGGCCCACTGCCTGGAGGTGTGGCACAGGCCTGAACCCCAGACTAGCCGTTCAGAGTCGGCTCCCCT